TGTCTCTCTCTCTCGCACGCACACACACACACACACACACACACACACACACACACATACACACACAGAGCCTTCTAGAATTTTAGTATAATCAGCTGGGTTTTGTTCTTTGCATCTCTTTTGTTGCAGAGCCTTTTAGCGCTTCTGTGTGGGTGATGATGTTCGTGATGCTCCTCATTGTGTCTGCCATGGCTGTTTTCATATTTGAATACTTCAGTCCAGTTGGCTATAACAGGAGCTTAGCCAGAGGAAAAGGTAAGCATTCAGTTTTGACTAAACCAACTATCTATTCAGCATTCAGCATCCTTTCTCCCTTTTCTTTTGCTGAGCTTTGTACATGGGATTAAAATGGAGTGTGGAATACTTAATGAGTGCTATTTCATTAGCCTTTAGCAAACTCTTTTTTTTCTTGTTAGAGAACACATTCCCCTCAAAGAACCAAGGAGCATCAATTGACACAGTGTATTTTTTTATCCATAAAGTCAAAGAAAATAGAGATAGAAAGATAAAATTTTTATTTTGAAGTAAAATTATAACAATTTTTTTTGCATTTATTGATACACCTGGTCCATTTAGTATTCAGGAACCATTGATCAAATAGCGCAGGATTTTTTAAAAATGACTTTTTGTTTGTTTGTTTTGGTCTTTTTGAAAGCTAGATCTCTCTATCTCACCCAAGCTAACAATGCGGTTGTCATTCATGGGCCCATTCTCTCTGCTGATAAGCACAGAAACTTTGACCTGCTCTGTTTCCAGTCTTGGCTATTTTTCTCCTTAGGCAGCCTGATCCTAGAGGCTCCCTGTATTGATGCCAGACTTAGTGCAGACCTGATCATCTCTAGCTCTACTTCAGCTCAGACTTCCCATGCTCAATCAATCCACAGCCTTTCCAGAAGCAGGGATTACAAGTCTATAACTTTAAAGGAAGAGAGGAAATATACATATAGACATGCACACACATATCCACATACATGTTGTATACATGTATATATATATAATGTGTGTATATATTATGATATGCCATATATATGTGAATATCTATCTCCATCCAAATGCATATATCTGTACACATATATGTATATGTATCAGTGCTGATATTGATATATATGAAAAAAGGCACCAAATAGTACATATAATCAGTTCCCTGAAGTCACATTATTTGAATTCACACTGCATATTTCTATTGGACTGAAACTAATTACCACACTTTATATAATTACAAATTTGAATTGTGCAGATTCAAATATATGTGGCCACCTCAGGGGATTATTTCTACTAATTATGACCTAGTTGCATATACATACCTACATATATACATGCATACATATATATATATATATACATGAATTTACTTAAATAGCATTAAGATTAACCTTTATTTTTTAAAAATATTTTTCCCTTTATGAAATGAAGACATAAATTGGTTTTCGTACAAAATGGACAAAGAATTGAAAAGCCTTAAAATGTGCTTTTAGATTTCCCTCCCAATATGTTTTGGTATTTTTTTTTTTCTATTTGTACTTAAATCTTTTGGCAGGGAACATTTTAGTCTCCTAAAAGGAACGTGAAGTTACCAGACAGATCAGGACTGAAAGACAAGAAGTTGTGTGATGTGTGGCTTGTTTCTTTATGATTCACTATTGAAATGAATTCTAATTGTGCAATGTCAGAACTGACTTCCCTCGCTCTGTTTTTTAATGTCCCCATCTGGAAAACATTTTACCGTCATTTAATTCCTACATCATATGCACTCTATATTTGAGTGTGATGGATGGAAATAGCCAGGAATACTTGGATTAACATGCCAAATATTGGCCCAGCTGAATTTCATGAAGCTTATATGAAAGTGTGTTAGACGAATGATGAAGCAGCTTCTCAGAAAGATTTTTGTAAGGAGCTCTTGAGTTCATTAAGAAGATCGGTTCCCCAAAATGAAAATCAAATCCATCGTTAAAACAGGTCATAACATCACTTCCCATTCAAGCCTAGATGTTGCATACCCAATTTCCATTTACATTGGAAAGACAGAAGGACAAAATCCACTCTGATAGAAATATATGAAGAATATTACTTTTAAGAGTAGGGAATGTAGTCTATAATGAAGGCAGGAAGCCTATTTCTTCTCACCTGCTTTATAATATTTGACTCCTAAACCATATATCTACTTTCAGCCCCTCCTTGATTCAGGTTATCCTTCCTGTTACACAACCTCGATCCTGTCACTTCCCTACCTAGAAATCTTCAGTGGCTTCCCATTGCCTACAGATTAAAACAGAAGTCCTCTAGTGTGGCATTTAAGGTCCTTTACAATTTCTCTCCAACCCACCTTCTAGCCTTGTGCCTCATTATTGTCCTTCATATGTTTTATAAGTCAAGGTCTACTTGCCCATCTCATTCATTCTTTCCTCAATGCCTTTTGTTCACAGAATTCCCTGAAACTAGAATACCTTTGGCCATACATACCTGACAGCAGAGATCCTTCAAGGCCTACTTTGAATTCTATATCTTCTTTTAAAACTCCCCTCATTCTACCATTGAAGACTAATCTTGTCTTCCTTTGAATTCTTATGAAATTTTATTTGTACCTATCTTAAACGCTTGTTCATAAACATTTAATTCAACACTCTCTGCCAGGAAATGTGGGGCACCGGGTATTCAAAGGGTGGAAATGAAGTAGTCTCTGCCCTCAAGGATCTTATATTCTACAGAGACTGCATATTTTACTCATTATTATGGCCATTTATGTTTATAGCAAATTCTTCTACCAGTCTGTTAGTTTCTTAAGGTCAAGAACCATGTCTTGTATTCTCCCACCCCCCAAACCCTTCTTCCTAGACACCTAAAACATAGCCTTTCACAAAAAAAGGACCATAGGAAACTGGTAAATGGATTCCAGATGCTGGCTCCATTGTTAACCTTTCATACAGGGATTCTTAATCTTATGTTTGGGGTGTGTGTGTGTGTGTGTGTGTGTGTGTGTGTGAGTGAGTGTATGATGGAGATCTGTAGCCATCTGATAAGGCTTATGTAACTCAGAATATTTTTTTTTATTAATTGAAAGAAATGCTAAATTGCAGTTAGATATTTGTGTAATTGTAATTGCTTTTTCCATTCGGGTTTGTGAGATCCAGGTGAAGAATCTTTGTTTTAATGTCACTTGTTAATATAGTATTGTCTTTAGCAGAAAAATTGACCCATAATTTTCCTACAAAATTTTGAAAGATTCTCATGATGTATTTTCTTTTTCCAAATAACTTTCAGCTCCCCACGGGCCTTCTTTTACAATTGGAAAAGCTGTATGGTTGCTCTGGGGCCTAGTCTTCAATAATTCTGTGCCTGTTCAGAACCCGAAAGGGACCACCAGCAAAATCATGGTGTCTGTTTGGGCCTTCTTTGCGGTCATATTCCTGGCCAGTTACACTGCCAACCTGGCTGCCTTCATGATTCAAGAGGAATTTGTTGACCAGGTGACTGGCCTAAGTGATAAAAAGGTAGGTGGTCTCTGGTGGATGTGTTTTGTCACTGGTCCTTTCTGTATGACTTAATCTAACAAGATGACTGTTTCTGCTGCTGCAAAATGAATGTACTGAAATATGAGTAAGTTATGTGAGTGCCACATAACTATCTGGACCTGCCAAATACAATGCTATTGTTGTTTTTTACCTGGATAAGAAGATCTCATGGGTTGAGATCTTCTAAGATAAATGCCATCCTTCCCCTCATCTCCCTCATTCAAAGACAATTTCCAATTAGAGTAACAATAATCCAATGCAACATTTACATAGGGCTTTAAGGTTTGCAAAGAACACACACATACACACATTATTTCATTTGATTCTCACAACAAACCTGTGAAGTAGGTGCTACTACCCCTGTTTTACAGATGAAGAAATTGATGTTAAAAGAGGTTTTGATTTGACCATAGACATACAGCTAATTAAGGTCTAAGGCAGGATTTGAACTCAGATCTTCCTTTAGGCCGGTGCTCTAACGACTGGGAAGCCCAGCTGTCCAGTACTTCCTGAGATCTATATAAGCTGTTCAGTGATGATGCTTCATGGATATTATACCTGGTAGTGGGTATAATATCCACTACAGGTTGGATGATGATATTTTACCCCTTGAATGGCAGTGTGCATAGTGAAAAAAAAAAAACAAAAAAATATCCATCAGACTAGGAAAAAAAGAGATTTGGGTTGTAACAACAACAATAATGATAGCTAATATTTATTTAGCACTTACTATGCCCCAAGCACTGTGCTAAATGCTTTACAATTATTATTTCACTTGATCCCTCACAACTACACTGGAAAGTGGATGCTATTAGTGTCCCTATTTTACGGATGAGGTAAGTAAGACTGAGAAATGTTAAGTGACTTGCTCAGAGTCACACATCTAGTAAGTGTCTGAGGCAGAATTTAAACTCAGATCTTCCAGACTCCAAACCCATTGCTCCATCTACTTGTGCCACATTGCTGTAATTATAGTTAGAGTTCCATCATTAAATAGCTATGTGACCTTGGCCCAATCACTTTCCCTTTCTTGACCTCATTTCTCTCATCTATGAAACAAGGGAGTGGGATTCAGTGAACACTAAGGTTCTTTTGGGTTGTCTCCTCTTTATCTTTAAATCTATCCAAATCTACACATCTAGCTCTTTCCTAAACAAAACCCTCATATTTGGGCAAAAGAAAAAAGTAGGTTGTGTTTACCACAAAATCCTCAAGTTGCACCAGGAAACTCCTCCTTGGACATTGACTCTAGAAGCTTGGGCAAATCATTAGCCTTGTTCGCTAAGCTGCAATTTCTGTGTATTCAAAGTGAGCATGAAAACACCTGTTTGAGGGCTCATCAAACTGAAATGTAATGAGGGTAGAGGAAGAGCTTATGAAGTTTTAAGTGGCTATTCAGAAGTGTTCATGCAAAGGAAGAAAAGAGGAAAATGAGGCTGCCACATTTTTGAATTTTAGGCTTGGGACACAAAAATGAACTTGCTGTATGCTCATCAACTTCATAGCTTTAGGATTGCCAATGTCTGCAGTCACATTGTGTATGGATCATTTGGTCTCTTCACAAAATCTTACTAGTCTTGCAGAATTCCTCTTTGCCATTGATGTATGCCTCATTTACATGATGCCTCATTTACATGAATCAGCAAAGGTCTTGATAGAAAGGCAGTCATTAGTCAGCAATACTTACCACTGCTCACACATTGAACAAAGTCCTAAAATAGGGTGCCATGAGGTTACAGGGAAAGGGAGGGAGACCTCAAACTCTAAAGAGAAGACAAGAGACTGGAACTGGAGGTACACATTTGGTAAGCACCTGCATAGTCATGGCAACTGAAGGCATAGGAGCAGGTTTCTTTAAGTGAGTATGAAGAAAAGAACAGAAGATTAAGAATTGAGCCTTGCAAGATGTTTATGAAGAGGATACAGAAAGTGAATGAATAGAGAAGACAATTATTCCATTATGACAACAGTGTCATGTGATATAAAGAGAAAATTTCAGGAAGAAAGCATTAAAGACTGATTGTTTGAAAAATAGAAGGGATGTATATTATATATACACATACACATATACATATATACACAACCATAGATGTATATATGCACACTGCATATATATGACATATGTATGCTATTTAACTCTCAACTCTCTCCCTCCCTGTTCCTCTGTCTCTCTGTCTGTCTCTTTGTCTCTCTCTGTCTCTCTGTCTCTCTCTCTTTCTCTTGTCCTTAATATTTATTACCCAAGTCAAAAGAAAATGCTTTGGAATTCAGGTATAAGATATGTTATAGCTTGTGAGAGAACTAATTAGAACCCATAATAGCTTGACTGTCCTGCTGTGACTTAAAAACACTTAACAATGCTTGCTATGTCCTCATGAGATACAGATCCACTTCAGCACTCAGAGGTGATATAAGAAAGTAGATAGATCTTTTAATTAAATGTGTGATACCATTAAATAAGCAATGGAATCCATAGAGTAAATAAGTTGAGTGCTCCTCTAAGTTTAATAGTGGAGGTACTGAGAAGGCCTGTGAAATAAAAATCTATATTGAATCAATTAATTTTAATTCTATATATAAGTGGTTTCCTCAGTGAATACCTGTGGGAAAAAATCACGTTTTCCGTCTATTTAAATCACACAAAGAGTCTTTTATAAGTTTTTTTCAATTGGATAAATAGTTGTAATTAAAAAAAAAAACTTCCATTCAAGTATAGTGCCTCACCATGGTGTGGAGGTAACTCTGGCAAATGAGTTTCTTCATCTGTCCTCCAGGACTGAGATTGTTTATTGCGATTATTCAGAGTTCAGTTACTCTTTCCCCACGAAATACATTTTATTCCTGTCTTTGGTTTTCATATCAACTATAAGTCCCAAAATATCTTTCTACACTACCCTTCTTAGAGATTCTTCTTTTGAGAGAGACAGAGACAGAGACAGAGAGACACAGAGAGAGACAGAGAAAGACAGAGAGACAGAGACAGTTAGTTAGTTCAACAAATCTAACCTAACCAACACATTGAAAAAGTTTAACATCATTCTGTGTTGCTCTATACCTGCCATATCCAAAAATAATCCTCCACCTCTGCAAAAAAAGTGGAGACATATTGTGGGGTGGGGTAGAGGAAGTGCCTTCTCATATTTCTTCCTTTGGACCAGGTTTATCATTCTAATTTTCCAGCCTTCCATTTTGATTCCATTCCTCTTCCATTGTTGTAATCATTATGTATAGTATTTTTCATGGTTCTACTTATTTCATTTTTGTTTCTGTTCATAACAATCTTCCCATGCCACTCTGTATTTTTTCTTCCAACAGAATAATATTCAGTTACATTTATGTAACAACTAGTTTAGCCATTTCCCCAATTAATGCATATCTACTTTGTTTCCTGTTCTTTGTTACTATAAAAAAGTGCTGCTATAAATATATCAGTTAATATAGAACTTTTCTTTTTTGTCATTGAATTCCTTGGGGTAGCAGTGGGATCTGTGAGTCAGAGGTATGGCATTTTATTTATTTTGCTCTATAAAAAAATCAGATTCTCAATTTTGGTCTCTCTGTGCCTCTCAAGAATGAAAGAATGGGTAGAAATCCTAGGGAGGTGAGCGCTCCAGAAATATGTGCAGTCATTCCTATTAAATTCCTAACTAATACGAATAGCAGACAGATGGGTAATTTGAATAAGTGTGTAGTATAAATCTTTTGCAGAGAGGAGTGGAAAGGTCTTCTAGCCAATCACACATTACTTATAAGAATTTCTTACACCTATATCCTGGCCGGTTTTATTTAAAAAAAAATACCATCTTTTGTCTTTTATACATAATTCATTCCATTAACATTGTGATTCATTTATATTCCTATAGATTTTCTTTCAGAGCCTTTTACCTTTCAGATAAATATTGTGAGGCAAAAGACAGAGTTCTGAATCTGCTAGAATGTGTCCCAGTGCCTGGCAAAGTAGCCCAACATAAAATCTTAAAACTGGAAAGGTGCTTAGAGATCATCTAGTTCAAATTCTCATTTTACAGGGGAGGAAACTGAGGCTCAACAAGATTTGTTACCCATCAACTCCCCCACCCCCTTTCAATAAACTCCAATGGCTTTGTAAAAATAAAATCTTCTATTTGGTTTTTAAAACTCTTCATGACCAGGCCCCTTCCTACCTTTCCAATATTCTTACATTTTATTCTCCTTCATGTGCTCTGTGATACAGACATACCAGCATCCTTGCTGTCCCTTGAGCATGTTAAGTTGTCTCCTGACTCCAAGCAATTTCACTGGCTATTTTTCATGACTGAAATATTCTTTCTCCTTGTCTTCATCTCCTGGCTTACTTCACTTCCCGCAGCTTCTAGCTAAAATCCCATCTTCTCCAATTTTCTTTTTCACTAGGGACCTTTTCTCATCTCCCTCTAAGCAAATACTTTGCCTGTTTTGATGATCTCCAATTTATTGTGTCTACATAATCGTTTGCATGTTATCTCCCCTATTGGAATGTGAGATCCTTGAGAGTAGGGACTGATTTTGCCTTGTTTTTTGCATTTCCAGCATTTAGCACAATGCCTGGCATATGGTAGGTGCTTAATAAATGCTTGTAGTCTGGCTGAAATACTTTTCTTTAAGAAGTGGAAAGGGCCTAAGGGAAACCTTATGCCAGAAAGAGTCCTTTAACATCTATTTAAATAAATCCAACATATTGAAACAACAAATGTGGCTTTACATAAGAGATCAAGGCAACCATTGGCTTCCCCAACTCTGAGGATAATTAGAATTAGAATTTGGCTTAAGAGGTTTTGTGGCCAGGGGGTGATTAGGAAAATCAGGAAAATTAATCAATTAACACAGGGATACTTACAGACCACAGGGGCTACTGATTCACTGAGTCTGTCCCTTGGCTTTTTTCTACTTCGCAGACCAAAGATGATGGTAGAAGTTCAGGACTCAGAGATTAAAACTATGCCCCAGGGAGGTGATATTAT